CTCTGCTTCCAAGGTGAGGGCCCAGGCAGTCGTCTTCCACCTGACCCCAGATCCACCTCGGGCTGTGCTTTTATCTTCACCAAGTACAGCCACATGGTGCCCCCCAAGTCAGCTTTGTTCAGGGACCAGTTAGGCTCACTCTCCAAGACCCCAGACCCTCCCTGGCTTCCACCCTCCAACACCCTACCTTCATCACAGCCTCAGTGTGCTCCAGCAGCCAGCCAACCAAAGCATGGCCTGACTCATGAAATGCAACCACCTTCTGCTCTTCCTTTGAGAGGATCTTACTCCTTTTGGCTGTTCCTGGAAGAACACCCAGGACTCTGAGTTCAGGCCCACTGACACTCCTGTGTAAGCATGCAAGAACCTTCCTTGTTCAACCTTGCAAGTTTTTTACTGTGTTGTTAAAGTGAGATCCTCATGGGACGTTCCCCTCCTGTGTTTCTGCCCCAGGCTGAGCCCATCCACAACTATTCTTCACTATTACTCCAATTCGAAGGAAAACTCATTAGGTAGGAGAGGTGTTGGAGGGGTCTGTGTTTGTTCACATTTCTATAAATGGTAGAATAATCAAAAAAAGCTCCTGCAAGCTTTGTGGGTGGGGCTGAAGAGCTGACAGGATTAGTATGGGCTCAACTCCAAGCTCTAGGTCTCTTGTTGGCTTTTCTCCCAGAACCAGCAGGGCTAACCACAGCCCTTGTGACTTCACAGTTCTTTCACCCTTAGCAGCTTAGCTGATTACCGCTTGTCATGGTGACTTTACCTTACATTTCCCCTGTTCAAATTACTGCTGAGGTAATTTGACCCAAATTTGCTATTTTGGGTTAGTTTCCATTTTATGAAACCTGGATAAGCTCTAGGTTCAGGGTATTTACTATATCATGCTACTACGATCACCTACCACATTTACCATAAGGTTATAAATTCTTTCTAAGATGCACTGGTTGTGGCAGATTAAATCATTTCAACCAGAGCTGATTATACAAGCCTCTAAATGAGATCACAGCCTCACAACATAGGCTCCACCTGAATACAAATGTGTTCCTGCTCAGGCAGACCACTCCAAATAAGTACAAGAGAGCTTGTCTTGTTTCTAAGCACTGCATACACTGGGGGGTGGGAGGAGGGTTAGTATTCTATTAGTATTCTCTTTGGTCTTCCCTGCTTTGATGATATTACTATAAGCTATGAATTTCCATGTAAAAGTAAATGGCTTATAAAAAAACAAAATTTATAGTGAGAAACAGCAACTTTAGTTCCTTCTGTCTATACAAGATTGCTTCTTTTCTAAGCTGCAGACTGGGAATCTGGTGACATTTGTTCTAGACTTTAATTCAAACCGGAGGGTGACGGGAACATGCTTCTTACAGAGATGGCTTAAGATGAAGGGCTCACTGCCTACACAGAGGGCATGTGCTTCTCAGACACCTGAGGGAAGGATCAGTTTCCCTCTTTAAAAAAATATCCGATGTCTTGACTGACACTTTTGCTCTGAACACTGTTCAGAGACAAGATGCAACTGCTCATGTCTGGATGTTGCCACGCTGGAGGTATGGAAGTTCCACATGTTTCTCTCAGTTTCAGTCCAGCTCTCATTCAAGCCCCTGGACCCCACTTTGAGCAGCATGGTTAAATACTGCTGAGAAGCACCCCAGCCCTCCACTACCCAATCACCTCTCCCACTCCTGTCCAAGCAGAGCACATGAGCTTCAGCAGAGACAGAGCTGACCAGAACGCAGCTGTCAGCAGACATCCCTCTTGTCCTTGGGCAGTAGCAGTGCACACCCCTGATGACATGCACACTGGCCTATCCATTTGCAGTTGGCTCTTAGGCAATACATAATGGCTAACGGGCTGAGCACCACTCACATTTAGGTTTGCAAGATCCTTTTATATTTCTATTTGAAGAGTGTCTGCTCTTAAGCAAATTTGCAGTATTTTAAACTGTGCAAAGTAAGTCACACTGTAAAGTCCTGACTTATAAAAAATAGAAATACTTTATGTAGTTCCCTCTTTGCTGATAAGATCCACCATGGGACATCTAAGCCTGATGTGCTCCCTCCCCCCCACCCTTGAGTTTGCTTGTGGGATATTTGCCTCATACCCGCAATGACGCGCTCCACGGCGTACTCAAAGTTAAACGTGTGGACAGACGTGTGCCCTTCCCGGGCAGCATGCAGGGCAGCCTCATTACAGATGTTGGCGATGTCAGCACCTGTCAGCACAACAGGGGAGGAGAAAGTTTTGCATCTGCGCCCTCAAGGATTGCGAGGAGGGAAGGGAAGGGAAGGTGTGGCGCATGAACAGATGAAGAGGGGTAGGGGAGTGGTGCAAGAAGGAAGGCACCCTTCCCTCCTGTGGTGGAGGAGGGGTAGAGAGTGGTGAAAGCCAGGTGCTAGTGCTCGGGCCCTAATGGACCTGAAGAACCTTCACATTTATGCCAACCTCTTTCAGTCTGTCTGCCTTGCCCACTGCTTTACTACACAACTGTAATTAGCACACTTTCATGTACCATCTGGTGTTTTATTCCCCCTAATAATTCATAAGTGTACTGATGGATGAGAAATTAAAGGTTATCTAGTGTCCAAAAGATTCTAGTTAAGGACATTTAAAAAAAAACAAAAGAAAAAAGTAGATTACCCTTACAAATGAGATCCATACAGAAAAAATCTTTTCTGTTGAAATTTTATGAGTTTGAGCCAACCTGACAATTACTGGGAAGCAAAATCTCAACAGATTGAGAAAATGCTTCCAAAATACCGTAATTTGTGATGTCTGTGTTTACGAATTAAAACCAAGACTGAGAGGGAGGGCAGCGGTGCACAGGGCAGTAGCACGGTCTGTCCAGGGCAGCCCCTGGTGGGAGCAGCAGAACTGCTTGATCTAAGCTGGACAGGAACTGAAGAGCCTGTGTGCAGAGCCCTAAAGGCAGAACTTCTAAGAGTGCCCACAGTGGAGACACATACATGGGGCACTCTGAATGCAGGCGACAGAACCACCGTTGGGTTTTCCATCACTTGGGGAGAAAAAGTAAAGTTCTATGCAGCTCTTCTATCTTCTGCTGGCTGTGCGTGCACAACCTCACTCACAACCAGGCTGTGCTGCCCAGAGGAGAGGACCAAGGGCACCTGGGAGAGGTCTGCGCTTGTGCATGAGGTAAGAATCACTTGCCATCTACTCTCAGGACCAACAAGAATCAGCCCCCGTACCGCTGAATCCCGGCGTGAGTTCCGCCAGACGCTGAGAGTAAAAGCTGCTAGCCTGGGTCAGCTTCAGGCTCTTCAGGTGCTGCTCGAAAATCTCCCGCCTTTCCTATCAAAGACAGGGGAGGACACAAGTGTGGGCCGGCACGCCCACCACACACATAGGAGCCACCTGGGAGGTACTCTCTGGAGTTTCTTCATCATCAGTCACAACCACAGTTTGTGAAACCAATTTAGAGCTGCAAGCAGCATTGCAAAATAAAAAGAAAAAAAAAGGAAACAGAATAGATAATGAAGTGCATCAAAGTAACAAGGCTATTTTGTGGAACTTTTGATTCATGCATATCCTGAAAATACTTCCTACACAGTCAGGAAGATGCACAGCCTCTCGCCTCCACAGGCCCTGTCAGAAGGGAGCCTCACACCACTTCTTGGAGTGGCAGTTTGAGAGAACCCAGAATGGGCACTGGGTGTGCCAGGAGCCACAGACCTGTGCCCCTATGTATGTACTTTCAGAAACAATAACCAACTAACCAACCATTAGGTCACCCTCCAAGCCCTGGGCTAACCTAATGGTTGGTTAGTTGGTTATTGTTGGTTTTGTGGTCCCTGCAGGACCCCCAACACACACGTAATCCTTCTCACTGCATGCTGGCTTCCTCCTCCCGCAGGGGACACCACACAGGCCTGGCCACCCAGAGATGAATGTCCAACCAGAGATCTGAGACTAAGGAAGCTGGTGGGGCTGAAAGATCATCAGGGCTCCCACCCCGCTTCCACCTGCTTTCCGGGCAGCTGCACAGCTCATGCTCTACAACTAAGTGGCACCAAGGCCTTGCTCTGGGCTACGTGAGAATTCTGAGGCTCTCCAAAGAGTATGCTACAAAACTCAACTGAGACTAGTCCACTCAACCCCAGATAGCTTAAGGATAAAGGGAAAAACAACGTGTTTAAAAAAATAAGCTGCAAAACCAAAAGAACAGTGAGTTAAAGGAGGTCTGGACAGACAAACACCTGCATCTGGACCAAGGAGGGCAGCCTCGGGGCACACTGACCTGCAGTGTGGGGAGGTCGATGAAGACGTGTCGATCCAGTCGGCCTGGCCTCAGCAGAGCATTATCCAAAATGTCAGCTCGGTTGGTGGATGCCAGGACGATGACATGGTCGGTGGTGCCCATTCCTGAGGGACAGACAGTGGCCTCTATGGTGGGGGTCCCCAACACTGTGGCCTTCTCCATGAGGTTCAAGACACAAGACAGGAGAGATTTCCTGCCAGTGTCTGTGAGAGAGGAATATAAGCACTGACCCAGGATTTATCCTTCAATAAGAACTTTTTTGTTTTATTCATTGATTTTAGAGAGAGAGGAAGAAGGAGAAAGGAAAGAGAGAGAGAGAGAGAACTGACTTGTTGTTCCACTCATTCATGCATTCATTGGTTGATTCTTTAATTGAACCCACAACCTTGGTGTATCAGGACAAAGCTCAAACCAACTGACCTGCCTAGCCAGAGCCCCAGAGAGCTTTCTACAAGATCGCCACAAGTGCAAGAACTCACCAGTTTTACTTCCCCTGGGGGCACCCCTGGAGGGAACTGCTAATAGAACGGACCCCAGGAGCAAGGGCCCACCTCCCCCCATGCGTCATCATTACATTTCCCTGGGCCAAAGTGACCACTACGGGGCACCTGGTCTGAGGATCTGGGTTTTCTACTTCCCTTTAACACTTGGTCTGAGGACCTGGGTTTTCTACCCCAAGTTTCTAATACAATAATTAATTAATTAACTTATTTATTTATCTCTTTCTGGGATGGTTGATCTTGAGCCTGCAGGGAGTAAGCCGGCCCCAGATTTCTCCAAGTCCAGTTTCTTTGCCTCTAATTCTAACGTGTCCAAAGACAGGGAACCACAGATATGCGTTCGTAGGAGGATTCACACAAGAATCTAAAAACGTTTTCAGAAACTATCCAAATAAATGGCCCAGATCTGCAACTGCAAAAACATATTTGTGAAGCAACTGGGGACTCTCAGCATTACTGGGTATTAGTTAGATTGCTATTAAGAACTTACTATTATTTTTGGAGAGAAAGAGAGAAAAACATCAATGTGAGAAAGAAACATTGATCAATTATCTCCCATATATTTGCTGACTGAGGATCGGACCTGAAACTTAGAAATGTGCCCTGACCAGGAATCAAACCAGCAACCTTTTGGTGTGTGGGACAATGCTCCAACCAACTGAAATAACCATCCAGGGCTAAAGAACTTTTTTAAAAAAAGATTTTATTTACTTATTTTTAGGGAGAGGGGAAGGAAGAAAGAAAAACATCTTCGTGAAACAGAAACATCAACCAGTTGCCTCTTGTACATGCCCTGGCTGGGGACCAAACCCACAAACCAGGAATGTGCCCTGACCAGGAATCAAACAGACGACCTTTTGCCTTGCAAAATGACTGAGCCACATCAATAAGGGCTGAAGAACTTATTTTTAAGTTATATGATACTTCTCTGAATGCAGAGAAATATATTCAGAGTATGTAAAATTCAGAATTTTCGGTTGCTTTAAAATAACCCACTGGGGCACTGGCTGGTGTGGCTCTATGGTTTGAGCCCCAGTCTGCAAACCAGGGTCACCAGTTCGATTCCCAGTCAGGGCACGTGCTTGGGTTATGGGCCAGGTGCCCAGTAAGGGGGCATGTAAGCGGCAACCACACACTGATGTTTCTCTCTTCCTCTTTCTTCCTCCCTTCCCCTTTCTAAAAATAAATAAATAAAATCTTAAAAAAAAAAATAACCCACTGTGGAAAAGGAACAGGGAAGGAGGTGTGCGTGGTCTAGGGCAGGATGAGTACCAACAACACTGAAGCTGCTCTGGAATACAGGGGCTTACTGCACAGTTCTGCTTGTGTGGATGTTTGAAACGTTCCAGAATACACAGTTTAAAAAATAAAAGATGCCACCACATATCTTTTCCTAACTTAAAAAATTTCCTAATAAATTGATACAAATACAATTTTAAATCACTCAAAAAGCCTTTTAACAAAAGTGAAATGTAGAAGAAATATTACAGAATTAAACCCTGAGAGCATGTCAGACACTGACACCTCATAGCACACTGTCAATCACTCCACTCCAGGATCCCACAACAATAGTGAGAGTCCCAGCCGAGCCCACCAGTACAGGGAGAACATGCACCTAACGGTGGGGCTGCCACCGATGTCACCGAAAAGCAGCCACCAGGATAGCTCAAATTACATGTCATTCCCAAGAAAATCACTCCACAACTTCAAAGAACCGTCTCATGGACATGCGACATCATTCTTGTCTGAGTTCGCCCTATGAAATGCGATAAGCCAAGGTGCCACAATGAGTCCAGTCCTGTTCATGTGCCAAGAGTGGAGAGTGCAGAAGAGTACTCACTTTGCTCAAGCAAAGATGATGTCTTACACCCTGGCTGGTGTAGCTCAGTGGATTGAGCACGGGCCTGCAACCCAGACTATCGCAGTTCGATTCCCAATCAGGGCACATGCCTAGGTTGCAGGCCAGTTCCCAGCAGGGGACACATAAGAGGCAACCATACATTGATATTTCTCTGCCTCTCTCCTTTCCTTCCCTTCTAAAGATTAAAAAAAAGAAAAAGATGATGTCTTACTATCACTGACTTTTGAAACAAATTCTAAAACAGGAGCAAGCACCACCCACACATGTGACACGTCAGCCTCTCTGCTCCGTTTGCTCACACTCCTGTTTCAGGAAAAGTGAGACACTGACATGGGAAAGGAGAGGCAGCTGGAGGGAGGCGCCCCGGCCAGATGCAGCTTCACTCGCAGAGAGACTCCTTGATGCCAGGAGGACCCTGTGCCACTCATCCCTGAGTGTTGGTTGGGAAGACCTGCCAGGGCTCACCACTCACATTTTTGAAATTCCTTCCTTCCACAGGTCAAGGTTATAAATACAGAAATCTGAAGTTACACACACAGTGAAAAAATGTTGAAAAATAGTAGGAACAGTGGATTTAGAAGAAACACAAGAACAAGGCAAGAGTAGACGCCACGTCAGTGAGCTCCAACCAGAAAGGGGAGCACTGACACACAAAGTTCTGCCCTCACAAGTCACCTTGACCTCCCTGCATAAGACTCCTCATTCCAGGGCCTGGTCATATGGACCACAAGGTGAAGACTTTTTAGGGTTTAGTTTTTGAAAGTTTATATTTTGACAGCCCTGACCAGGTAGCTCTGTTGGTTAGAGTGTCATCCCGATACACCAAGGTTGTGAGTTCAATCCCCAGTCAGGGTACATAAAAGAATCAACCAATGAATATATAAATAAGTGGAATAACAAATCGATGTCTGTCTGTCTCTCTCCAAAAGTTTTTTTTTAAAGAAACTTTATATTTTGACATAGGTGTAAGTGCACAGCAAGGTACAAAAACAGTGCAGAGAAGTCCCCTACTCAGTTTCCCAGGTGGCATGTTAAGTAACTATACCACAATGTCAAAGCCAAAAAATCCACCCAGCACAGTCCACAAGCTTTATTTGACATCAACAGTCTCACATGCACTTCTCTGTGTGCACCTCATTCTCTGTAATTCCACCATGAGATTCCTGTAACCTCCACCTTGATCCAGGTAGATTCCACCACCATGGAGACCTTCCTTTACAGTCACACTCCCCTCCCCTACCACCTCTTTCTTTTTTAATGCAGCTTTGTTCCACATAATTTTGAGTTTATTTCTTAAAAAATATATTTTATTGAGCCCTGGCTGGTGTAGCTCAGTGGACTGAGCACAGGCCTGTGAACCAAAGGATTGCAGTTCAATTCCCAGTCAGGGCACATGCCTGGGTTGCAGGCCAGTTGCTAGTGGGGGATGCACGAGAGGCAACCATACATTGATGTTTCTTTCTCTCTCTCCTTTCCTTCCCTTCTAAAGATAAATAAAATCTAAAAAAAATTTTTTTAAGTATATATTTTATTGATATGCCATTACAGTTGTCCCATTTCCCCCCTTCATTCCCCTCTACCCTGCACACCCCCTCTCCCACCACTAGTTTATGTCCATGTGTCACAAGTTCTTTAGATTCTATATTTCCAATACTATTCTTGCCCTTCTCCCGGTCTATTTTCTACCTACTGTCTATGCTACTTATTCTCTGTACCTTCTCCCCCCTTCTCCTCCTCCCACTCCCCTGATGCAAACCCTCTATGTGATCTTCATTTCTGTGGTTCCACTCCTGATCTAGCTGTCTACTTAGTTTGCTTTTGTTTTAGGTGTGGTTGTTAATAACTGTGAGTTTGCTGTCCTTTCACTGTTCATCTTTTTTATCTTCTTTTTCTTAGATAAGTCCCTTTAACATTTCATATAATAAAGGTTTGGTGATGATGAACTCCTTCAACTTGACCTTATCTGAGAAGCAGTTTATCTGCCCTTCCATTCTAAATGAAAGCTTTGCTGGATAGAGCAATCTTGGATGTAGGTCCTTGCCTTTTCATGAGTTGGAATACTTCTTTCCAGCCCCTTCTTGCCTGTAAGGTCTCTTGGAGAAATCAGCTGACAGTCTGATGGGAACTCCTTTGTAGGTTACTGTCTCCTTATCTCTTGCTGCTTCTAGGATTCTCTCCTTCATTTTTATCTTGGCTAATATAATTATGATGTGCCTTGGTGTGTTCCTCCTCTGGTCCAACTTCTTTGGGATTCTTGGAGCTTCCTGGATTTCCTGGAAGTCTATTACATTTGCCAGATTGTTCAAATAAGTTTTCCACTTGTTGCTCTTCCTCTTTCCTTTATGGGACTCCTATAATTCAGATGCTGGAATGTTTAAAGATGTCCTGGAGGTTCCTAACCCTCTCATTTTTTTTTTTTTTGAATTCTTGTTTTCTCATTCTTTTCTGCTTGGCTGTTCCTTCCTTCTGGTCCACTCCATTGATTTGAGTCCCAGTTTCCTTGCCATCACTATTGGTTCCCTGTGCATTTCCCTTCATTTCACTTAGTGTAGCCTTCATTTGTTCATCTCATTTGTGACTAAAATCAACCAGTTCTGTGAGCATCCTGATCACCAGTGTTTTGAAGTATGCATCTGATAGATTGGCTATCTCTTGGTTGCTTAGAAGTATTGGCTCTGGGGCTTTGAGCTGTTCTTCTTGAGCCATAATGCTTTGGTCTGTTCGTGCCTGTTATGTATGAGGGGTGGAGCCTTAGGTGTTCACCAGGTCGGGGCAACCCAGTAGCTGGGTTGTGACGTTGTATGTGGGGGTGGGGTCAGAGGGGCAATGGTGTTTGTTCTGGTCTCTCTTGGATTTTGGCCCTCTCTGCTGCTTCCCACAAGCAAATTGGGCCCTTCTGGCGCTGGTTCCTGGATGTGTGGGCTTGTGCACCCTACAGGACCCTGTGGGTCTCTCCAACAAAATCTCTGTGAGCCTGGGAGCCTCCCCTGGCACCTCATCCCCCGAAAGTTTTTCCAATCGGTGCTTTTAGGCTTTAATTCCCAGTGCTGGGGACCTGGTTTGCACGGTCTATCTCATTGCTCACTCTTTCGCCTGGTTTATCAGTCTGGCTGAAGGGTTCATTGTTGTTGAACTTTCATATAGTTAAATATTCTGTCTGTTTTGGTTGCATTTTTGTTACTAAATCTTTGTTGTCTTTAAACTCGGCTGTGGCTGTGCAAGGAGGCACAATGTTTCCACCTACGCCTCCATCTTGGCCTGCCCCTCCCACCTTTCCTACCCCTAGTAACCACTAATCTGTTCTCCACCTCCAGGATTCTGTCATTTTTAAAGTCTCTCATAAACTGAGTCATACAATATGTAACTTTCAAAGGTTGGCTTTTTTCATTCAGCATAATTCATTTGAGATCCATCTCAGTAGTTTCGTATAAGGACAGTTAGTTTCTTTTCATTGCTGCATGGAAACCATGATGAAGATATACCAGAGTTT